AGAACACCCCCCCACATCAAACTATCACAAGGTCATTTAGTCCAACCCCCCTGCAGCGAGCAGGGACATCTTCAAGTACATCAGGTTGCTCAGAGCCCCATCCAACCTGACCTTGAATGTTTCCAGGCCTGAAGCATCTACTACCTTCCTGGGCAATCTGTTCCAGTGTTTCAACACCCTCATCATAAAAAATTTCTTCCTTATATGCCCTCAATCTAAACTTAAATTGAGTTTCTTGCTGCTAAATTACTCCTGTTCTGCATGAAAAATTCTGGGGAAAAACAACTGAAAGCAGCACACAGAAGGGATTTTAATGGGCAGCAAAGTGCAGCGATAACGTGGAAGAAAAAGCTTGTTCAGCCCCTTAGCATCATCAGGACTCTGAAAATTTACTCTGCTTATTCCTCTCTGGAAAGGTCAGTACAGCATCCTCAACCATATTTTTCTGCAAACAGGCAAAGTTTGTAGGTAAGCTGTAAAATACAACGTTGTGCTGTTGTTCATTATTTTCATCATACGCGAAGGATGACCACTGCGTGATTTTTCCCCACTCACGGGAGATCCGAGGAACGCAGCAAGTGCGAAAGGATCTCAGTACTGAATAGAGGCTTTCGAAGCATCAGGATGCAGCCCTGTTGCCTTCACACGTGAAATGATCGACTTGATACCATCCCAGTTTAAAAGCCTCTTCAGCTGCGCAAGGAAAAAAAACACCCTGCGTTTCTTTCCAAGTCAAATATGAGGTTATCCGAATTTGCAACACACTTTCTCCAGTGCACACGAACATAGGCATTCCTAGTTAAAATTCAATATATTACTGCTACTAAAAAGAAATAGCCATTTGGCTGTGCTTCCCTAGACACTAGAGCTCAACAAGCTGTGTAGGATGTGCAGTAATATTTTTGCAATTGTATCTTACGATTTCAATACTGAAACAAACATGCTTCAATTCTTATTCTGAAGCTCATCTTTAGTCCTTTCAACTCCAGCATCACAAATCACTACTCTAAAGAACATATTTACAATTAAATTGAAATTCCATAAATATTCTGTGAAATCCATTCTCAGGCTGAACATCTAATCCAGTTATTTGTCCAAAAAGCATCAACATTTTAAAGGTAGTGACTTAACGATATAGCATGTCTTTTGTCTGATACCTTTATGTCACATTTTGAGTGCTCTTATTTTTATTACCAAAAAAAAAAAGCATCCTTTGCTATTGTTGTACCCAAGTATTTTCTCTTTTCTATGTAATTTTTTTTTTTCCCCTCCCATTACATTCTCATAAGATCTTTCACTCCATTTCAGGAGCACTGCATACACTAGCCCTGCAAAATATTCCTAAAGGATTATTAATATCTTTGAGAACTATGCTACAACAATCCATTTATTAAGTATGAACTTCATTTTACAGGTAGGCGGGCAGTGACCAGTGTCATCAGACACTTTGTTTCTCATCAAACATAGTCATCTCCAAAATGGTAGACTTGCAGAATTAAAAAAATTATTAAAGACTGAGTTACTCTGCCTGGAGTTTTTCTGTTCAAATCCTTCTCATAGCAAAAAATATGGTACATTATCAGTACCTTGGGACCGATCTCAAATATAGAGACACTTCAGGTACCAAAACTAATTTTAACTACCTCTTTCAGTTCTCAAATAGATCAATTCCTTTATGAACCAAATTATTTTCATATTCATTCCAGACTCAATGCAATTTTGAAATCGGAAAGGGGTGACACACAGGCAGAGCAACTCATGACGTAACATGGATCAATGTTGCTGCAAGCACCTTTAAAGACAAACGGATCTGTGCACACACACAGAAACAATAAACCATTGGAGCATTAAAATAATATCAAGTACAGGGTGTGCCTAGATTAATACGTGTTAAAAAGCAAGCACTATATATACATTTTAACAAATGCAATATCATTTCATTCCATTGCTAGATACAGAACGTGCCAATTTATTACATACACACAAACACAAAATTCGAGGAGAAAGACAGCTCAGCAGACTCATCAGTTCTGATATTTTCTTTGTGGAGCAATACAAAAGACGAGACCGATTTGCTTTCGGCATCAATGGAAAGCAGGTGTTTTGGTTCTATTTTCCTTTAGATATTTCTTCTCTTCCCTTTCTAAGTTAAAAGCTTTATTCATTTATTTTATCCGTGACTTATAACTTATCGTAAACAATCCAAACCTTGCTCCAAACACAGAAATACTCCTTTTTATGGGTCTATGCTTCATAGTGAATATTTTTATATTTACAAAACTGTTACCCCTACCTTCTCAGTACTGTACAAGAATGATTAGCTCATTTTTCATATCAAAATCTAAAGCAAAATATTTAGCATTGTTTAAAACTTTAAGTATTTTAGGGTGCCCTGTTTGAAGCCCCTAGAATTTGAATTTCTGCAATGGTCAGTGCTTCTAAAGTTTTGCCAGCACATCCCACTGACACAGCCACATTTCTAGAAACTAAGAAATCACAATCTCAGTCCATATTCTGAACGGAAGCACTCTCCTACATCAGAGATCCCTCTCTGTTCCGTCACGTAGAACATGCCTCCCTCCTATCTGTCTCCAGCCCTTGCAATGGTTTACACCCATCACTCTGCATCTATTTATCTAGTTGCCATTGGCATGTAGACACCATCTATCTTCACCTTAGTTTTCATCTAGCACAGATTTCCTCGTCATTCTCACTTCATTTCTTTGCAGTTAGGAATTTTATTATTTCTTTATCTACCTCCCCACTGCATTTCAGTTTGATGGGTAGGTCCTGTCTCTGGTACACAGCATGATAGCTATGGGGAGCACACAGAACGTATTGGATGAGACAATCCTGCAACACAATATGTGACAACATAGCAGTCCCTTGATACTCAGAAAGGCTGAGACCTTACCACATCAACACTACCATTTCCTGAGCAAAACCAGAGTATTTTCAGAATTCACAATAAGTTCTTAACAAAATTCTCTATGTAACTTGAATAAATTTGGGCAAGTGTCAAAAAGAGGAGGTAAAAGATGCATCCTTAGTTGCAGGAAGAACTCAGAAATGCTTAATAAGCATAAAATATATACCAAATTTTACTAATAGATTTCTTTACTAATGAAACCAGGAATATATGGATCTAAATGATCTAAAATTAAGTCAGGAGCATTTAAGTTAAAGGACAAAAAAGTCATTAAACATGTACTTTTGTAATCAATCAACTTCAAACAGTGCTTTAAAGCAGCAAATACTTATAAGAAACAGATGTGTGAACTCTCTTAGTTTCTACATAAATTATCTCTGAGAAGCAATAAATAACTCTTTCCAAAACTTTGGAAAGAGTAGAGTATGACAATTAATATGACACCCATTTAATCCCAATAGTTGAAGAGCTGAAGATCTGTAGAATAATTATTTGTATTACATGTGATGATATTTTGATTGATAAAGTATTCAGATGATTCACACTTATTTGAAGGGCTTTGAAACGGAATGCTGATTCTGAAGTTTGAAACACTGAAGCCTGAGAAGTTTTAATTATTATGAAAAACCCTATAAACTTATTTTTAATATAGAATTATCTTGTCATATAATACAAGGTTTAGTATGCACTTTGTACTAAATACCAAGTTATCTCATTCAATATTACTGATACGGTAAAATAAATATACTGTAAAATCATTTTCATTAGAGAATATAAACTTTACTTCCCTTGCTGAAGCAATACATTGCCAGCATAAAAATCGAACTTTTTTCTCCACCATTTTTTTTTTATCCATGACATAGTTTCACTAGTCTAGTAATTCTTCTTGCTTTCAAAACACAAAGGTAAATTCAGAATCATCCCATCATTGCAGCTATAAATTTCAGCTTTCCCTGGAGCTTAGGAAATGCCAGACCTGTCACAAAATTAGATGTGAATAAATCTCATGCAACAATTAAGCAGTGAGGCAAATTAGGAAGTATGGTTAGAAAGCAGATAAAACATTAGTTTCAATCTTTGTATCCTCAATAAGTCAGAGAAGAAAGTTTTCATTTTATTTCTTAAAATTAGAGAAATTTCTCAAAAAAGGCTGTTTTTCCACATCTAATTGTGAACAGAACATGATACTATGGCTATATGTCTCACATACGCATTTATGATACCTGCAACATCATGTAAAGCAGAAAAGGCTTTACCTGAGGAGAAAAATGATGAACAAATATTCCCACAGAGAGGCAGTGGACAGTATCAGATGTCTCGCATAGTCTTCACAGACCTATGAATCACTGAATTTACTTCTACTAAGCACAACAACTCTCTTTGCATTGAACAGCCTTTTCCAGAGAGCACCAGCATCATCAGTTTGTCACATGTTTTCTGATACTCTTTGTCAAACCTCTCCTGTCCATAACATGCAAAGTTCCACACAAAAGCCAGAGTACAAACAGACCAAACAGGGATATTATACACAGGATCTTACCAGTAAGGGACCTGTGAGCTGAGAAGGCCCTGACAACCATACAAAAATTCCTTAAATCTTAACCCACAAAAATTTTACAGGAAAAACTATAGATCTAGAAATATAGATATTAAAAAAAAAAAAAAAGAAAGAAAAGATGAATAGAGTCAATGCAGGCAGTACTGCTTCACTTACTTGAAAAGTATGATGGAACTGGAATCAACCTCTGGGCCCTGGAGTAGTTCTGAATGGCTTTACCCTCTTTGTTTGCCTCTTCCTACATCTATGCACGCATTTTCTGCTATCTTGTTTCCATCTTATCCCCATTTCCCTCTTGCTGTTACTTGTATATTCAATCTCTTCCCTCCCTCAATATTTTACTCAATCCTTCAACTTCCCTTGGTTCTATACTGTTTACCCTTTCTACTACCATCTCCAAAGTAGACCCAACAACAGTAAGCAACAGCTGCAGAAGAGAAAGCCAATCCATTACGATGTGAAATGAATCACCTGTACTACACCTCCACTTCCAGCCTTAAATACAGCAGGATTCAATAGCTCCTGATTGTGTGTGACAGATGCTTGTAATGCAACATGATGGATTAATCAAAGTGAAAAGGACACAGTTCTGTAATTACAGTTTTAACACTTACCTAAAGTCAGAATGAAAGAGAAAAAACATATTTTCAGATACTATCTGCAATTAACTATTGTCTTTTCCACTTTCTAAAGAACGGTGCTCAAGTGTGAGATAGGGAAGAACGGTAAGACTGGTAATGAAATTAACAGTTAAACAATCAGCTGTTAGAAAAGTTGCTTAAATGAAACTGAAGCTGTTTCTGGAATAGATGCTGCAGCACTTTGCCTGCAGCTAAAGTGACTGGTGTCAAGTGTGTTTGAAAGATGCTTTTTCCATGTTTTTGATTAACATAATTCATGATCGAAGTTGAATGTTCATGTTTCTAAGATGCTTAGCTCCATCACCATCTTTATTTTCTTGTCCTGACATGGCAGATAAATATGATTTTGCCATTCAACAAATCACAAGTCTTGGTCACAGAAATAAAATATCAGATTAACCAGACTTCATAGTATTTGGAACTATGTAGCTAGATTTTTCAAGGACACTAGGGTAGAAGCTGACTTCTTTCTCTCTGTCACAGCTGCTGCATATGAGCACAAATAACTCCATATTATTCAAGTCCATTAGCAGCAAACACCTATTCCTCATTAAAATAACACGAATCAATGTCTGCACTTTGCCTCTGTAGTCTGAGGCAATAGACCTGAATGAAAAGGGAAATTTGAGTCCTGTTCAAGACCCACTTAGTTAAAAGCACTGTAGGTTTCATGGAGAAACATTTCATTTTCCATTCACTTCTGATACTTACATCAAATTCATTTAATGCAGCCGCAAGCTCCCCTATGCCAGTGTGCCCCTTGTTCTCATCAGTGGGTGAGGTGGCCTGGGCAGCATTGGAGATACCAGCAATTGCTTCTTGTACTTGCTTGAAGACATAGTCTCTGTTGGCCCTGGTGGCTGCAACGTCAGGGTGACGGAGAAATGCTTGGGACGCTGTGTACAACATCGTGGCATTCTTCTTCAGAGCACCTCGAGCTGCAGCCATTTCATCCCTGCAGTGAGGATCTTTCAGTTCCTATACAAAACCACACAATTTTTACAGTTGTAAATGAAAGTTTTTGAGTTAAAATGTGTTGTCTCTACAGCTTAAGTGTCTCTGTATAAATATTGTCCAGTGATTTTGCAGAGACGGAATCAATGGCAGAATTTATCATAAATCACAGAAAGAAATCCTCCTCCTGCCCAACAAAGTCCATTCCTTCCACGTAGCTACAGCTGTTACATTCCATTCACAATATCTTCTTATTGAAGAGTCTATATGCTTCCCTTATTCAAAGACCCAGAGAAAATTTATATGAAACATTCAGAATTGCTCTTCCTGACTGACTGGATTCAGTCTGCTGACTCCATAAAGCAACGCGAGTGCGACAATCCTATTGCAGCAAGTGCCATGTTTTGGTAAGTACAATACCTATGTCTTTTGCAAAATCATCATCATCATCATCATCAAAAAGAATCAAAAATATTACACTGATGAATATGTTTTTAGTTCTTAAAGACCTAATAAATATGCCCCTCATTATTTTTGGCCTTTCCTTCATATTTTCTTCTATTCTTCATACCATTTAGTGTTTGTTTTAATTATACATATCTTCTTTTGCTTCCCCTGACAACAAGCAAGAGATATTGTACAATGTTACCAGAATAAGATAACACTGTATTATTGTTGTTTAATCCATTAATTTATTTTCATATAGGATATATCACACTGTCCATGAAAGCCTTTCAAACATTAGGTAAGGTAGTCCTAACAATATTCATAAGGAGTAAGAAAACATTATTACTTCTATTTTAAAACTATGAACAAAGCTTGGAGAGCTGTAGAGTTTACTTATGTTCACACATAGAATCTATGTTCAAAATTAAAAAAGAACCCAGCTATTCTGGGTTTAAAAGTTCTACCTGTTGACTAATTTCAACAACATATGACTGATAGATAACAGCTTTCGGAGAAAATTGAATTCCTAAAAACTTTATCAGGCTGCAAAACAGAAGAGATGAAAGGAAAATGTATGAACATTTAAGTAGTGAGTTCTGATACTGTCAAGATTTTCCACAGTTATATGGAAAACCTTACTGGCATTATAAAAATGCACCTTAAGAAGAAAATTTTAAAAGATTTATAATTAAGATTTTCTATTATCTTTTCATACCTCCGTTAAGAACTCGAGATATATACCTTCATTAGCTTTCACATTTTTCTCTTTTTCCCATATTTGTACCTACACTTCCACAAGGGAAGTGTCTGAACATACAGAGTAGTTCTGTTCAGTGACTAGATTTTGTATTTTTAATTTATTTAATTTCAGTATAACTCCAAAAACATTATACTTCATAAAAAACTACAATAATGATACAGCTGGAAATTGTCATTACTGAAAGGCAGAAGATAAAGTAAACAAATGGATGACTGTGGAAAGCCAGCATGCTATGCAATCCAAAGATGAATGATTGGTGGTATCCAAATGTGACTGAAGTTGGAGAGACCTTACACAACTACACAGTGATAGCGCTGTCTGGACTCTTAGAAAGAACAGTGCTCAGGAGAAAATTATCTTTATTTCAAAGTTGTATAATTGCAGGCATTAAAGAAACGTTATCATGACTTTCTGGTCTTTTTTCAATCTGCCTTAGTAATGAATGGAGTACTTGGGATTTTTTTAAGTATCTGAAAGTTGATAATGAAGGTTTTAAACAGAAAGCAGATTTCTGTTCTTCAGGAATTTGAATTATACCAGACTATGAAAGAGCTTATGCTTTACCATCTGTCAGAGTGACCTCAAATCAGCATAGGTTAGAATTAAATGGGAACAACCATCAAATGAAAACTGTCTTTAACTCCTTGAATCACTTGCCTTTTCACCTTTCATTCTGTCATTAACTGAAGCCACTTGGAAAATATTCTTAAAGAAACTGCATTTTTAAAAAACATGATCACATTCAAAAATCAATGTGATTAAATTATAGGCCATGACACATCAATTACTTACTGCACATTTTAAACCAGACTTGGACATAAAACACAAGATCTTTAGAACCCAGACTAACTTTCTTAACCACTGTACTTACCTGTTGTCGTCTAGCAGCTACATAGTTTAGTTTTACCATCTCTTTTCCAAACTCTTTAAAGCGATTCGCTAAATCTTGCTCATTTGTTGCATTTTTCACTGCTTCTAGTGCTTCCTCTACCTAGAACACAACATATCAACTGTGTTAGCCTTTTAATACACGTGCACTCATTGACAAAGTCTACAACTATTCTACCCAATACTCTCTATTATATGGACCCAATTTAGCTTTTATATGCATCACTGTACAGTGGCTTTACAATAGTCCCACTAGCTTTCATTAGGTTTCTTAATAGAGAAGCTGTCCGATTACCTTTCTGCATTGCTTTCCATTTACTGTACATTGGTATCATGTAAAACTAATGTAAAAGGCACAACTATATTAATTTTCCCACTCACATTTATCAGATGAAATGTTTAATATCTGTGAGTTTTAAAACAAAATAGATTAATATGTTCTTTATGTGTGGTAGAGGCTTTACGGGAAAACAGAAGGAAGTTATTAATTCTGGACAAGACATGACTTTTAAAAAGGAAACTCAAACTTACCACTAAGATTTAAATTAACCCTGATATATTCAAAACACTGAATCTTTGTGAAGTAAATGAAACAACAATAGATACAACCTAGAATATATTTATTCTTTCCTTTTTCTCAGTTTTCAGCTTTCCTCTTTCAGTTACTTTAAAATTGAGAAAAGAATCTACCAAAGAAAACATACCTGCAGTTACTCAGTCATGCTGTAGCCAACAGGTTAAGACATAAAACCCCAGTTATACCAATGAGGTAATCTACCAAATCTATTGTGCAATTTTCCCTTATGTACAGCAAGAAAAAACATCTGAAGGGATAAAATGCTCTTTTCATGCAATAAATAAAGGAAATTTTCCTGTCACTAGATGAAAATTCAAAGTTGTATTTCTCTCCCTCACAAGAGAAAAATGCAATTCCAAGCAAAAGATTGAGAACTGAAAAGCTTCTATTCATCTTTCTTTCTAAAACCCATTGCTTCAATTCAGGAGAATGTGCATAAGCTTTCAACAGACAAATTTTTCCCTCAAAGAGAAACAGCTAATTCTGATGGAGACATGCTCCTATGCAAGAGCAGAGCTTTGCAGCTTACTTTCCAAACACCACTGAGAATCCATAAATTCAGCAGTAGCTGGCATCTAATGAATTTAGAAAGGCACAATTATGTGCAGAACCTGTTTTTTTTTGTCATTTGTGTTGCTTGAACTGTGTTTTCCTACCAGCGAGAGAGGATATTTTTATTGTGAGCTCTTACCTACTTGCTGTGTATGTAAGAATATCCACAAATTACAGGGCAGTAGAAGAGCAAACCCATACATTTATATAGGAAAATGTATAATTCAAGCACATAAATCCCTAGCTGTTATGTTGGAAATTTTATACGAATTCTGAGAGTTGCAAGCTACACCTTATTCAGCATCCAACTACCTCTTATTTCACTCTTAAAAAGAACAGCAGTTTTTAAAGCTGAACTATCTGCCTGCCTTAACCACTAACAAAAATTACAAGAGCATCATTGTATTAACTGATTTTTTCTTGCAGGATTCTCAGCAAAACATGAACATCTTTTTTCAGCTCAAGCATCTGTGTTAAACTAGCTAAAACTTTCCTCTTTAACATGTTTGTAATGATGAGCACAGCCGTGGTAAACTGATAAATGTTTTTGTAAATCCTGCTAGCTCCCTATTAAATAAAATTGTTACAGATTCCACTCTAATAATCAGATTTTGAAAGATGTTGACCCATTGTGCCAGTCTGGGCTCAAGCCCATGAAATTTCAAAATGAAGAAACTTATTATGAGAAGTATTTGAAAGGGCATGAGCACAAACCCCTTTTTTATTATAATTCCTTTTAAAAATTCATATTGGAGCAAGTTCTCCATCCTCAACGAAACATGACTTGCCTCAACTGTACAGATGTCTTCCTCTGATTAACTAGCATGAAATTAATTACAAAAGACTCATAAATCTGTATGTGCATGATCACATACTATATTAGCACACACTGTTTTATGAGTGTTACATAAGCTTCATTGCAATAAGCAATATTGCTAATTTTAGTAATGCAAGAGCGAATATGAAGGTAATAACTGAGTGTCCTTCCAGAAAGCACCTGCATACATTCACTCTAAAACATTAATTAAAATGCATTAATTCCCATGAAGTCTGAAGCATAACTCACTCCTTTGACATGCTTTCAGTAAAAACTGACTACAGTACATGCCAGTATAAATCAGGCTTCATAACTCTGACATGCAGAACGATTTTAGTTTATTAATTTTATGGTTAACGTACATCACTGTTTGAATATTGCCTTTGAGACAATAGAAGAATTTTGTAAATTATAAACACTTTTTTTTTCCCCTAGTAAATTGATTTTTATTCATCTAAAACTGGTTTGCATTATAAAATGGTAAGATAAAAATAAATACACTGCCAACCCTCAAAAATAAATTACTCTTTTTAACCTGAAAAAATGAAACAAAACGAAACAAATTTAAGATTTTTAAGTTCCATTTTGCTAAGAACAACCAGACATGTCTGGCTTCTTGGAAACAGGATTCATAACAACATCTGGTAAATGCAGAGCTTACAAACCCACGTAGCCACACACTGCCCTTGCAAATCTGGGGTGCAAACTGTAAGTAAATACACCCACTTCTGAAACAGTATTGGACATTTGTGTTTTAAATAACAGAGTGCACTGCTGTAACAGGAGGAAGAAATCTCAGCTGTGAGAACAGTATTTCTCATCGCCTATGAAAGATCTCGAGTCTGAATTTTAATCACAAAAATTCTGAAAAATCTGTTGTTTATAATACTGAAGTGTTAGTCTCATTAGCAAAGGATTATTTGATTTACAGTTGCATGGGGTATTATAGTGGGGGAAAATTAAAAGCATATGCGAGAGAGACAATGCTTACACCGCGCACAATCGGAGCCACATGCTGACAACTGCGAGAGCAACATTCTGTTCATTAGAGCAGAGCTCACCAGAATCTGTGCAGGAAAAAACTGCCTTTTTCATTATGAAAACTGTTTTCAAACTATTTAGCTTAACTGCACAGTTTGCAAGTTGAAGGGTTCTCGCTGCTTTTCCAGAACATAATACCGTCATACAGTTACACTGTTAAAAAGACAATTTTTTTTTAAAAAAAAAAGCTTTTGAACAGTTATTAAAGAGAAATAACTCTCCATCTCCTCTGCTAAACTCAAACATGCACTCTGCAGGCTTAAAATACTCATATATATGACTTTCTGCAAAATTTTGTTTTGTTTCAGAGGTTTTGGTTTATTTGTTTATGCAATAAAAATGAAAGAGTCCAATAACTACATATTCACAACATCATATTTCCCTATTTCTTGCAGTCTTTTAAGACACGAATGATGGCAGCCAAAGCGAATATAAATCCACACCAAACTATTTGACAATCTTTCAATCTTTAATTGCTCTTTATTCCATCTTTCCTCTTTGATGACTGATTAGATGCTTGCCCTATTGTCTCACTCCAAATTAAAGATTCAGTCTTTTGATACATCCAGAAGTTGTGCAGAGAGAAAAAAAAAAAAAAAAAAAAAAGGTATATCACTGTAGTACCTAAACTCCGCCACAGGATGGCAAGACTTTACAAGTACGCAGGTAGTAAACCATCCGGATAACCCGCAAGGTGAGTTGAGTAAACGCATCTGTTCAGTTCAGAGAGCTGCTTAACAGCAAGCAGTACCAGCCCAGGCATCGAACACATCTGATAATTTTTACTTTAAGTCTCCGAAAATTAATTTCTGCAAAACTAGAGAATGAGTAAGACTAATGTAGGAAAGTATATCCTACTTCTTGTTCAGCACTTTTAACAAAAAACAGTGAAATACAGTGAGAAACGTGAACAGTGACATCCATTACTGATTCGTTCCCTATTTTTCTACACACCAAACATGCAAAAGAGTACAGAATATTAAAAATGCGTACAATTTTCAGGTGTGACAGAAGCCTCATGACATCAGCCATATCAGCCAGGATGAGCAGGCGAGTGACAGCAGAAAGCAGGGCGCGAGCAGCCCGCACCATGGTGCCCCGTTTCACCGAGGAGCACGGGTCGTCGGCAAACTCGGAAGAGGCGATTCTCATTGTTTCTCCTAGAATTGAAAAAAAATAGGTAATTAAAGTTAAGTTTTACACTTGCACTTTTTTTCCAAAAAGTATAAACAATTCACTAGTTAAACTAACTGCTGTTAGGAAAAAAAATAATGGCTTAGTTACTGAATATTGAATTGTTCAAGAGAAATATTTTTTAAAAACATGTGAAGCAACTGCCTCGATACTCTGCCTTTTTTTCTTTATTCCCAAACTGCTCTACTTCTAGACCAGTCACTTGTAACAACTAAAAAGGAAACCAAAACACCAAGACAGACAGCTGAGCGCAGCCAGCACAACACAAGAAAACCAGCAGTGTGTGTTGCAGAAATACAGAACGCACTCGCACCCCAATAGTGTCATCCCAATTGCATCTCTCTACAATTCTTCAAACTACATCATTCTCTGCTCCTCACTCCTCACCTTCCTGCTCAGATACTTATTCTGCTCTCCTCCACCTCAAAGAGCTATCACTCCTGTAGAAGATTTTAATTTTTTTCCCAATCATAGAATCGCTTATGGTTGGAAAAGACCTTTAAGATCATCAAGTCAACCATAAACCTAACACTGCCAAGCCCACCACTAAACCATGTCCCTCAGCACCACATCTACACCACTTTTAAATAACCCCAGGGATGGTGACTCAACCACCTCCCTGGGCAGCCTGTTCCAATGCTTGACAACCCTTTCAGTGAACAAATTTTTCCTAATATGCAATCTAAATTGTTGTGACCCAAGCGCAGGACCCGGCACTCAGCCTTGTTAAATCTCATGATTCCCTTTGTGACCATCGCTGCTACAGTTTTACTACCCAGTTTTCCTGTTCACCATCCCAAACTGCCTGGATATCCCTAGAGCTGCCTGTCTGCGGACAAAGCAAAACACTCTCTTGCATAACAAATGAAACATGCTGGTGCCTGAACACTTTATTCTTATTTAATTCCAGCAGCAAGGACCTTATTCAACATGGTACTTGGTAAATAAAACAAGATTTTTAAGGACTAACTTTATTTCTTCTTTATAGCAGATAGAAGGATTAAAAAAGAATAAGAATTACTTAATGCTACCAGTACTGAAAGAGCTTGAGTTCCTTCTGTAAAGCTGAAGTCAGCTACTTAAGGAAATACTGCTTTTAAAGGAGTAAGACTAGAACTAGGTTGGAAAACAGTAACAAAATCAGGACAGGTTGTAGCTTAAGGAAATACCTGATCGGAAGGAAAAGTGAGCCAGTGAAGCAGGTTAGATACCAGTGGACCTTGAAATCAGAAAGTGGGAATTTCACACACACACACACACACCCCCCCCCCCCCCGTATTTATAGCAAAGAATAAGTTGCCTAACTGGGCATAAAAGATTTTTGAAAATCACAACCATCTTTCAAAGACTGGATAATCTAATTTAAACCAACAAAGAATATGAAGCTCAACAAAAAAGGTAAATGTTACATTACATTACACTACACAGAAATGTGGTCAATGTCACAAGGAGATCAGGTAAATTCTGATATGTAAGAAAGACTTAATAAATGAAGAACAAACAGCACACTACTGGAAATCAAATAAACTAATACTTTAATGCAGTGATAATTGAAAAAGAATGATATGTATCTTTTCCTTTCACATATGACTTACAGAAGACAATCAAGGGACTTCTGCCATAGGACATCTTTTTTTTTTTTTTTGTAACTACTAGAAAAGTAACAATATAGCACATAGATAACACAAAAATGTAGAACATGTATCAGCTCATAACTTTCCAAAACTATTCCAGACACTTAAAAAATAATTTTTTCACTAATCATCTGGAAAACAGAATGATGCATTTATATTTCACAAATTACTTGCAAAATAATATGGTTTTAGATACAGCAACCGAGACCTGGACCTATCATTAAAATGAAAATCTAGATATTTTTACTAATAAGTATACTGCAAGCATTACTGTAACATCAGAACCGAAATCCAGCTGATTCCTAGTTGTGATGTGAACATCAAGGATGAATTTGACTAGAATATATAAAATGAACTTTATAGAAAATGCTGAGGCCCCTGGAAAAATTCACTGATTCAAAAAAGTTATTAGAATGTTTTTGAGTAAGTCGTAATCGTAAAAATTGCTATGAACTAAAAGAATGGTATTCTAGGCAACAGGGAAAATATGTGTTACTTGCTATTTACCCTCATCCTTGTAGGAAATGGGTGATTACAGCACCTTACTTCTTAACAGCATCGGCTGAAAAATAATCACAGAATCATAAAATCACAGAATAGTTTGGGTTGGAAGGGACCTCAAAGATCATCTAGTTCCAACCCCCCTGCCATGGGCAGGGACACCCTCCACTACACCAGGTTGCCCAAAGCCTCATCCAGCCTGGCCTTGAACACTTCCAGGGATGGAGCAATGAATAAGGGAATGATATGGGGAATGATAATGAACTGAAAATGCATCATTTTCCTTCATAATTCAAGAAACTGGAGGAGAATTATGCATTAAAAAATATAAATTCAGAGATGATACTATCAATCCAATCTATGAGAAAAAAACACGTGTATTTTAAAGGATTTCAGAAGGCAATGGAAAACAACGCACTGCAGAAACCTGGACGCCCAAATCCCAGGTGCTCGCTCTCTCCGCGCTCAGAAGCGACTTAGCTGTGTCTGCACTGTGATGGTTTGATGTGTGTGAGGGGGTTCTGGTGGCAGGAGAGAGGATTTGCTCCCTGTGACTTCCCTGGTTCTGGCCACCAGATCTGAGTCCCATCCCCTCAGGGTTTGAGCCAATCCACGCCTCTGCGAATAGCCCTATTTAAGTTGGGACAAAGGAACCGGAAAAGGTGTGTGCCTTTGCCCAGGAGTGAGGAGAGGGGCGCTGCCCCCACTTCCCCACTCCAGGCCGGGGGCTGCCCGCACTGGGCCAGCGCCACCTGCTCAGGATGGCGGCGGCGGAGCCGCTTGGGGAACTCGGGGAGCGCCCCGCTCCCGGGGTGCGCGCTGGGCCGAGTTCACCCAGAGAGGGCTGAGATCTGAGAGAAAAGGCCACACCAACACCAGGTCAGTGAAGATGGAATGGGACGAGGTGTCCCGGAGCTGAGTTTCCCCTGCAACCGGTGGCAAGATGGCAGCAGCCCCCTGCAGCTAGGAAGGTCTTGGTGGGGCAGAGACCCACTCACAGCCCATGGAGAAGCCCACGTCAGAGAAGAGATGTCTGAGCCTGAGGACAGTCATGAAGCATGGGATGCACGACAAGGTAGAGATGCATCTAGAGTCTGTGGGACGACCCACGCCGGAGCAAGTGGCAACAACTCCCTACGAATCCGAGACTGTGGTAAAGCCCGCACTGGAGCAATCTGATGGGGAAGGATTGCATCCCGTGGGTAAGACTCACGCTGGAGAAGTTTGTGGATTTTCCTCATGAATAGGGGATCCACTGGAGCAAGGGAAAAGGGTGTAAGGACTCTTTCTCCTTTAAGAAAGGAGCAGCAGTAACAACATGGGATGAACTGACCTGCACTCCCCCATTCCCTGCACTGCTGGGGGGAGGAGGTAGAGCCGGGAAGAAAAGGAAAGAGGAGTGGAGAGGTGTTGTTTTTATGATCTGGCTTTGTTCCTTTTTATCCTCTCAAGTAACTGGCTTTGCTTGTCTTTATTCTTTACGTAACTGTTAATAAATTGTTTTGTTTTAAGAAAGCTGAGTCTGTTTTGCCTGGGACCATGGTTGGTGGGTGCTTCCTCTGTTCTTGTCTCGACCCTCAGTCCTTTTATTATATTTTTCTCCTCTCCACTTTACTGGGGAAGGAGTGAGAGAGCGGCTGTGTGGAGTTTAGTTGCCGGATCGGCCTAAACCACGACATGCACACTCTCACGTAGGAGCCGATGAGTCTTGCTCAGAGCCGGTTCTAACTAGGACGGACCGCGCCATGCTGATGACTCCAGACCCAACCTGGTGTAGCCGCGTACGGCCGCCCTGCTGTCACGCAGCTTTACTACCTTCAGACCGGCCACGGTATCTGCAAAACGTGCTGCGTTCTGCTGCGTAGACTTGTCAACAGCATTTAAAAGAAACCAGTCCAGCTATGGAACACAATCCCATCAATATATTCCCTGGAATTATGTTGTGGCTCTGCCAAGCCAAAACTGATTTTTAAGACAATCTACTGACTTAGCTTTCTTTAGACTGTTATCCTTTGCTGAAAAAAAGCTCTGTATGCAAGGTGCTTTTTTTAAAATTCAGCATTCTGTAAACGCAATCATAAACTTTCAGCAGTTTCTATATATAAGTTTTTTCGATATGACCTTCTTCACAAATCACAGTTATTTATTCATGTAATAAAAAATCATCTGCGCAGCTGCATTAATAAGTTTAGAACAGTTTTCACCTCTCTTGCTATTCCACCTCCTGAAAAAACACTCCATGGTATTTTCTCCATGACACTTTCGATCTGGCAGAAACAGCATGTGCTCTGCCTTGGCAGGGCCCAAGGAGCCAACCAGTGGCAAAGACAAGGCTGAATTGCACCTGCCTTGCTCTTGGTGTGAACGCAAGTCTGAGCTTTTGTTGGGTTTTCTTCTCTCTCCAGTTACGGATTTTTTTTATAACTGTTTTTAATTATGTTCACATTTTTTTTGCATAGGTTGAAACTGAACAAAAATTTAAATATATTAGGAGTTACCACCAGATCAATAATTATGCAAGCCTCATTTCCCTAGGAAATCAGGCTGAAAGAAAACACCATTTTGAATGAGACTTTGTATTAACCCAAACTTAGTTAGTAGTAATAAAAAAATCCTGTTTGTCTCCAGTGTAGAAACTCAGAAAGAAAGTACTTCTAACATGAAATCAAAGCATATTTATATTGCTTTTAAGACCATTAAAACAACATCCAAAACAAAGTCCCAGTCGGCATAACTTCCCATAAGACAATGCAAATAGTGGAGGAGACTGCTGCAGTGAATAATTCCCATCAGAACTCTTTTCCTCATTATATTACCATTGAGACTGTGTG